ATTGAATTATTGGACCGGATTTTAGAAGAAGGATCTACAGAAAACGTGGACGACATTGCTGGGGTAACTAAGATAGTGAGGGACGTCTGGCCCTGAGTCTGTAAGTAGTGAGTGATGGTCGTAGTGGTTGTAGTAGTAGTAATAGTAGTAGTGAAAGTAATGAGGTTAGTGGTAGTAGTAGTAGTAGTAGTAACAGTAGTAGTGAGAGTAATGGTGTTAGTGGTAGTAGTAGTAGTAACAGTAGTAGTGTAAGTAATGGTGGTGTTAGTAGTAGTAGTAGTAATAGTAGTAGTGAGAGTAATGATGTTAGTGGTAGTAGTAGTAGTGACAGTAGTAGTGTGAGAAATGGTGGTGGTAGTAGTAGTAACAGTAGTAGTGAGAGTAATGATGTTAGTGGTAGCAGTAGTAGTAGTAACAGTAGTAGTGTAATTAATGGTGGTGGTAGTGGTAGTAGCAGTAATAGTAGTAGTGAGAGTAATGGTGTTAGTGGTAGTAGTAGTAGTGACAGTAGTAGTGTGAGTAATGGTGGTGGTGGTAGTAGTAGTAGTAGTAGCAGCAGCAGCAGCAGCAACTTCTCGATCGCTAGCGCACTCTCAGCTCATACACTCAGGTCCGGGGTTCGAATCTCCTCCGGTACGGCTGGAAAACATTAGGGATGTGTTTCCATAAGACACCTGCTGTCCCTGTTCTCCCATCAGTGTAAAATGGGTACCTGGGTGTTAGTAGACTGGTGTGGGTCGCATCCTGGCACAAAACTGACCTAATTTGATCGAAATTCTCAGCATAACAAGGGGCTTTCTATATAGTAGTATGTCATTGATGTCAGCTATGGTTTTTATACTTTGTACATGTACTTGTAGTAATTAAGGATATTATTAGTAGTAGTATAGAAGAAATTATAGAAGTAGTTGTAGTATCATTAATAGTAATAATAATAGTAGTCGTAATAGCAGTAGTAATAGAAGATCTGATGCAGATTATCAGCCTTGTGGGTATAGGACCCGAAATAATCTGACTCCATTATCCTCCTCCCCAGGATGCCACCCACAGCAGTCGGCTAACTCTCGAGTACCTACTTACTACTAGGTGAAAAGAGGCAACAGGTGTCTGGAACTTGTCTACCGATTCAGCCTATGTTGGGATCGAACCCAGGTCCTTCAGATGTTAATGGAGTTCTCTGAGTTTATTGAACTGAAATTCTATCGGCTACACGAGTGTCAATAAGACTTCAAGTAACCTGTTCACTACTAGTTAGTTCCTAAAAATAGGTCTTTTGAAACTACTTTTTGTCGGTCCTATGGTTAGTTACGCAGGACAACCCAATAAAGACCCCCCAGTTTAACTAAATGTTATTCTTTTCCTTTGGTCCTCTTTCCCACGATCCTACCCACAACATTAGATTAACACCAAGGTACGTACTTACTATTTTCTGGACATGGGTAACAGGTGCAAGGAGACTAGCACCCAGGTACCTACTTACTACTTGCTGAACATGGGTAGCAGGTGCAAGGAGACTAACACCCAGGTACCTACTTACTACTTGCTGAATATGGGTAGCAGGTGCAAGGAGACTAGCACCCAGGTACCTACTTACTACTTGCTGAACATGGGTAGCAGGTTCAAGGAGACTAACACCCAGGTACCTACTTACTACTTCCTGAATATGGGTAGCAGGTGCAAGGAGACTAACACCCAAGTACCTACTTACTACTTGCTGAACATGGGTAGCAGGTGCAAGTAGACTAACACCCAGATACCTACTTACTACTTGCTGAATATGGGTAACAGGTGCAAGTAGATTAACACCCAGGTACCTAGTTACTATTTTCTAGACATGGGTAACAGGTGCAAGGAGACTAACACCCAGGTACCTGCTTACTACTTGCTGAACATGGGTAGCAGGTGAAAAGAGACTAACACCCAGGTACCTACTTACTATTTTCTGGACATGGGTAACAGGTGCAAGGAGACTAACACTCAGGTACCTACTTACTATTTTCTGGACATGGGTAACAGGTGCAAGGAGACTAACACCCAGGTACCTACTTACTACTTGCTGAACATGGGTAACAGGTGCAAGGAGACTAACACCCAGGTACCTACTTTCTACTTGTTGAACATGGGTAGCAGGTGCAAGGAGACTAACACCCAGGTACCTACTTTCTACTTGCTGAACGTGGGTAACAGGTGCAAGGATACTAACACCCAGGTACCTACTTACTATTGGCTGAGCAGATGCAACAGGTATAAAAAAAAACATTCTCATTTTGTTATTACATTCATGGGAAGCGCTAGCCCCGTAGGGGTCATATAACGTCTGGGGAAAATGGGGAGTAATTAGTTTTGACTCGACGAAAGGAAAGGTAATTCCAATTCCTTGGATCAAGAGCCCTTTGCCTGCATCAAGAGTCTTTCATGAATTATTAGCAGAGATATTCCCTCTTCAGTAATAATTCTATCAATTATTAATAAAAAATTCTCAGGAATTTAATTCCCATTTTAGAGACTAAAATATTTTTGGATTTAGTGCATACGTGAACTACTGCCTCAATGGCATCTGATTGCCTTCTAACATCAAAGAAGCTAACCACCAACAGCCTGGACGATCTGGTCAGCAACCAGGAGACCTGGTCTGGGACCGTGTCACTGGGGCTGTAAATATGTAAATATGGTCCAAGTCGGACCATATTTGCGTATTTCTTCTATGTGAGGTTATTTGTGTATTGTTCTAGTCACGGTGTTGTGACATTTTGTTCCATCTTCTTAAGGAAACCAAAGAAAAAGATCAAGAAGAATGCGAGATATGTCATACTGAATGACTATCAGTGAATAAACAGTGGAATGGATAGGTCCTGTCACTCGCATGGACCCCTGTTCGAGTCCTGGTCCATTTGTTTTTCCGTTCATTCACAAAGAAGAGGCCTAAGACTTACCTTGAGGTTACTCTTCTTCCCACCAGGATAAGTAATCCCGTCGTGATCACTGACAGAGTCATCGTCATCACCATTGGCACTTGCTGTAGAATGTTTACGAGGTGGAGGGGAGCCTTTCAGTGCCAAGAAACTGGACGATGAGGGCTCTTCTGTCTCGTCATAGTCTGCATCTGGCTCTTGTGGCTGAGGGTGAAAGAAGATAATGAAGGTTTTTCCTGTCTCGTCATAGTCTGCCTCCGCCTCTTGTGGCTGAGGGTGAAAAAAAGATAATGAAGGCTATTGTCTCGTCATAGTCTGCGTCCGGCTCCTGTGGCTGAGGGTGAAAGAAGATAATGAAGGTTCTTGTCTCGTCATAGTTTGCATCTGGCTCTTGTGGCTGAGGGTGAAAAAAGATAGTTAGTCGACTGGTGTAGGTTGTGTCTTCCTAGGGAGGAAAAGCAGAGAACCATGAAGGAAATAAGTCTCATTGCTAGAGTTGTTTAGTTATGCTGGATTAATGATAAGAAGAACGTGGCCATCTTAGAAAAAGAAATGAAAAAAGATACCGAAAAAAAAGACTAAGACGTCCACGTTCTTCGTTGAACATCGAAATTTCGTCTAAAATTTCCTCTCTAAGTAAGGGATAGTTGGAAGACGTTGGTTAATTCAGGTACAAAACTAGATGTATTAGTAATAGTGTAAATAAAGTTACAAGTGACAATAATGCACATGATATTCCCCGAGGCCTATCAGATGATAGGAAGAGAAAGAAGTAAAGGGTTGTGGTGGGAAAGTTGTCATATAAACTGTAAAACAAGGAAGGTCTTGAGAAATTGAAGCACAAAATCGTAGACCTTTTACAGATTACATTTAAATAATAAAAAAATAACAAAAGGAACAATAATGGAGGTAGCAGTAATCTGCACTCTCCCAAGAGCCAGCAAGGATCCAGATAGGAATGTGAAAATACCAGTAAATCTGTCATAAATATTATTTGCCAGTACTAGTAACTAGTAGAAGGAAACCAAAACTCTTAATCCTAGAGACCTTGAAGAGAGAGATATAAACTTGGAGACAAGAGACCTGCACTGAGAAAAGAGACCTGGAGAAGAAACCTAGCAGACATAGTGCCGAAAAAAATACCATTTTTCAAAATTTTAATGAACTACAGGTTAGGTAATGTTTGTCGGGAAACAGGACAAGTGTTTCGTGACGCGGGTCTTAGTCATATGATGACCCACCACTGGAACTTTTGGTCATCTGGCCGAGGACTTCCACTGGCTTACCTTTCCACCCCTTTAAAAATTATAGTTATGGTTATAGCCATCACATCTAAGTTGATATTTGATGACCAAACAAGGATCTGGGAAGCAGATAAGCCACTAAGACTGAACTTAATCCATATACAGGGTTTTTTAAAAAGATAGGCACAATTATAAAGCAATATGCTTTGAAATTGGGTCTATCTTTTTGACACATTCTGTAATGGTCAATGAAACAAAAGCATCTATAAGAATGAAATAAAACAGAAGGACATAAACCAAAGACATCGTAATGAACGACTGTCAATGAGTAAACAGGAAAATGAATGGAGACTCGAATTGTGGTACATTCGAGTAAGAGGTCCAACACTCGACACTCTCGCTGACATCTGTTTTAATTTATACATGTGGGATCGTTCGTATCTTTGGACTCAGTATTCAGCAAAGGTGAAGGTGACGTTGAGGACGAATATGAGGAAAATCTATCAGCGAGTATAGCATCCTGTTGCCAACTAACACTTGGAAGTAGACACTGTAAAAGACGTTTCGCCCTCTATCTTGGGCCATTATCAAATCACCAATGTGATAAGTGACCCGTGTTCGGTTGGTAGCGAACTTAGTTCACACGCTGAGAGTCCGGGGTTCGATCCCCAGTACGGGTGGAAACTCAGGGCATGATTCCTTACACCTGCTGCACCTGTTGAGACAGAAATGAACTGGGTACATAAAAGAAGAGTCACTTGTAAGATCTAGACGCATCAACTCCCATAAGGTAAGATGAAATCTTACCTTATGGATGCATAAGGAGATGGACAGAATAGATTTTTGTAAATGGTTTAGAAAACCGACTAAATGAGATACTTGTGTAACATTTGGGTATCTATATTCTGGAAACGCTTCCTAGTCAGTGGTTTCTTCAGTCTAATATAGAGAATGGTGGAAGATGAGGAGGAGTTTAAGGTAATCAGTCCCTCAGCCTGGAGTCAAATTTATTCAGTCTGTCAAGATTGGTGGACTGAACACATCGACTCCAGGCTGAGGGACTGATTACCCCAAACTCCTCTTCATTTTCCACAGTTCTCTATATTGGACTGAAGAAGCCACTGGATGGCGAAACGTTTGCAGAATAAAGATACCCAAATATTGCAAAATTGTCTCATGCATCAAAATGTTCTGCCTAAGAAGGGACTTTCTATATAGTAGTATGTCATTGGTGTCAGCTATGGTCTGTATAAGTTGTATCATGTACTGGTAGAAATTAAGATATTATTATTATTATTATTATTATTATTATTATTATTATTATTATTATTATTATTATTATTATTATTATTATTATTATTATTATTTATCATGAGTATAGATACCGACAGAGTTCGTGAGCATAACCCTGGATTATGAAGGAGGCAGAGATACTACACAAGTTACGAACACACGGCTACAATGAAATTACTCCTGACAGGAAAACTGCCAAGAGGAACTAATGACTCTTATCAGACCCAGCTGGCCCAGTGGGTAACGCACCGGCCTGTGAGTTTCAGGACTAACTCGCCATGAGATCGAGCCCCTGCTTGTTCCGTGGTTTGTTTGCCATCGTGTCATTACGATTTCGTGAGTTATGGTCGTTGAATGTTGCAGCGTGCAGAAGGTTAGAGGTTACACTGGGCGACGTGTGGTGTGTATATTATACACGAAATAAGGAGCGTAGAAATTAGGGGACGGTGTAGTGCTAAGGAAGGTATAGTTACAAAAATGGATACCTGAAGTATACTTGAAGGATACCTGAAGTATACCTGAAGTATCCCTGAATGATACCTGTAGTATACCTGAAGCATATCTGAAGGATCCCTGTAGTATACCTGAAGTGTACCTAAAAGCTACTTGAAGGATACGTCAAGTATACGTGAAGTATACCTGATATATACCTTAAGTATACCTGATGTATACCTGAAGTATACCTGAAGAATATCTAAAGGATACCTGAAGTATACCTGAAACACACCTGAAGTATACCTGATGTATACATGAAGAATACCTGAAGGATACCTTAAGGAATTTTTCGGGGGTCAACGCCCCCTCTCCCCAGCAGATCGGTCACAACAAGGCGCGGAAAGACTTTTTTTTTTAAATTAGTTTGACCATTTACAAAAAAAAAAAAAGACCGAGAAAGCCAAGTTGAACAAGATATAAACCTGAAGGGTATAATTTTTAGTAATTTAGGTTAGGCTCTAAACCCATGTGGGTCATTTAGTGCAAGATGTGTTAGAGGCTCTATCCTCCTATTTGGGCTCACTTCGGAAGGTACCACCATCAGGCATGTGTTAGATCGGAGTGAGTAGAGACGAGGGGTTTTGAGGATTTAACGTGCTGTCAGAGTGTGGGGAAGGTAACATTTGTGATGTGAATCATGGAAACTTGTTAGCTGGACTCGAGTCCTGGAGGTGACTAGTACAGAGTGCCTACATTCAAAAAAACTAAATTTTTATTGAATATAATTTAATGAAACACGGGTTTACTGTTTGTCGTGAAGATAAGCTGACACGAAATGTATCAGTGAAAGGTTTGTAAGTGGTTGTTAGTGAGGGTTGAAGATTAGGGTGTCAGTCCCAGGGAACAACTCATTGTCGTTGTTGCTGAATTTCATGGAACAGACTGTAATATAAGATTATATTTTAAAGTATCAAGTTAAGGAGGTTCTTCACTGTCACTTACCTCTATCTCTCCTCTCCCCATCTCTCTTCTCCTATCTCTCTAACTATCCCTATCCCTATCCCTATCCCTCTCCTCCTTATCTCTCTCTACTCCCTATTTCTCTCCCATATATCTCTCTTCCCCTTCTCTCTCTCTCTCTCTCTCTCTCTCTCTCTCTCTCTCTCTCTCTCTCTCTCTCTCTCTCTCTCTCTCTCTCTTCTCTCTCTCTCTCTCTTCTCTCTCTCTCTCTCTCTCTCTCTCACCTTAGCCTCGTCAGTGCCTGAGACAGCTGGTATCACTGACGTGTCTAGAGACGATTCACTTTTGTGTTTAAGGATTGACTTGGCCGGGGGTGGGCTGATGTCTGCTGGCTCATTCTTTGCTGGTTTGTTGATCTCCGCATATATGTGAGTAGGCGACTCCGGGATAGTGTCTAGAGCCGGGTATATGCTTGTAGAGTCAGGCATAGAGGCATTGGAGGTGGAAGCAACTGTGTAGAGAGGAGTGGTAGTGGTGGTGTTGTAGTCGTTGGGGTCTGTAGAGGAGAAACTGGTGATTTTGGTGAAGGATGGTGGAGGAGCCGGTGAAGAGATGCCGTAGTACTCGGGAGAGCCAGCATCCACACGTCTCAGACCTCTATACTGGTGCTCACTCCTAGGGAAGGGTGAGATACGTTCAGTTTGGCAAAGAAGGTGGGAAATAGCACAGAAGAGGAAGAAAACATACACACAATTAGCTCACTTGTGTGTGTGTGTGTGTGTGTGTGTGTGTGTGTACGTGTGTGTGTGTGTGTGTGTGTTTGAACAGGCAGACAGACAACACCTACTTCGGTGATTCCGATTTCTGCGAAGAGAGAGTACTGAGGAAGAGAGGAGGTGAATCCCTGCTGGAGGTGCTGCGGCCGTTACTGAGACTGTTCAAGGTACCATTGGTCTTGTGGTCCCGGGACCTCAGAGACTCTCGCTTCCTGTGGGTCCCAACAAAACAAAAGATGCAATAGGTATGAAAATAAAAATTATTCGATTGATCCTTCAAGAGCAGAGTTATCTGGCCCTTGCTTAATAATAATAATAATAATAATAATAATAATAATAATAATAATAATAATAATAATAATAATAATAATAATAATAATAATAATAATAATAATAATAATAATAATAATCCTTCAAGAATTATTTCAACTTGGTAAAAAAAGGATTCGTGGTGGAGTCAGACACTAAAATGAACAGTTTTATTTTTAATTTGGCTAAGTTATTTTCGCAGGCTACTTAAAATTACAAAATTTCTCTTATTTGTACATTAAAAAGATAACACAACGACTCCTCACATTACACTAAGATAACAAGGGTTTTACAGCAATCAATGGCCGCAAACATCACATCAACATAACATATCCGGATATCCTTCATAGTCATGATTTGTTAGGCACTTCGGTCAAAGTTTATTTTCGAGAAGACTGACATGGTATTGTTCATTGTTAATTCTATCTTTCATGATTTTGCTCATTTGTTGTTCATTCTACCTTTCATGCGTTTGTTCATTTGTTATTCATCTTACCCTTCATGTTCCTCACTGTAGGAGAGGTTAGGGTAGGCACGTCCAAGTGTGTTGATCGGGGTGGAAGCTATGGGCTTCGCTCTGCCATCTCTTCTCCTGGCAGTCATGGAAGAAGTGTGAGTTATTGATCGAAAACCCTCCCTATCGTCAACATTATCAACATCTACATCATCAAAAACTCATGTATTACCATCATTATCATCTGTCACAATTATTTCAAATTAATTGTGACTGGTTACCTCAACTCTTATGTTCCACCTTTCTCTGCATTGGACTGAAGAAGCCATTGACTGGCAAAACATTTCCAGAATATTCTCAAAGGCTCCACAAGTGTGTCATTTATCAACTTGTAGGTTTCTAAACCATTTATTCAAATTAGTCATAGTTTCACTAATTTTCTGTATGTCTCTGTGTGACTCACTATGTCTGCATTATTTTCTCTATCCTGTCCATACACTGAAGAGCCTAGCAGTACTTACTTCTTATAAACCAAGAAGGCAAGAGCAGCGAGTAAGATGAGGCCTAGCAGAGCTCCCAGGATTCCAACAGCAACCTTCAGACCAGTGTTGGATGTTTCATTAGTATCATCAACACATTGGAACAATGCCTTATCCGTAAACTCCTGCGCCACTACGTTCGTTTTGCCATCGGAAAGTGCTCTGTTTTAAGTAGAAGAGAGTTAGTGGTTAATCACATGTCAAAAAGGCTCGTTGTGTGTGCTTTTTTTTTTTTTTTTTTTGGAGACAGAAACACTGGAGGCTGATTCATCTGTATATTTCGACCCCCATCTGGGATCCTCTTCAGCTGAAGGGAACCCCGGAAGGGATCGAAATATACAGATCAATTAACCTTTTTTGTTTCTGTCTCCATGTGCGTTATTATTAACCCTTAACCTGCTTGTATATGGGGGGAGGGTTGATGTATAACTCTTGGATCAGCATCTCTGCAACGATATAAGGGCTTTACTGATTCATGACCTCCAGATCCCATTTATGCTTCCTCTCGAAATAGCGGTAATGGTATAAGCCGTTACTATCTATTAAAAATAGGTTAGATAAATGCATGAGTGGGTGTGGGTGGGTGTGATTTGGGCCTGACTAGCTTGTGCTACTAGGTTAGATGCCGTGATCCTTCCTTAAGTGAATGTGACCTAACCTGACTAGGTTGGGTAGGTTGGCTTTGGCCGGTGGGGGACATCGACCTGCCTCGCATGAGCCAGTTAGACCTGCTGCAGTGTTCCTTCTTTCTTATGTTCTGGTCCCTCTTGGTCTGATTTGCTTCTCTTACCACAATAAGCTAAAGAAATATTCCCTAAGGTCATTGAGACTCGTTTACATCGTTTGGTATCATCAGGTACGATCCCTGGTCACAGACCGGGTCGCGGGTACGTTGATCCCCGGAACTCTCTCCAGGTATACCCCAGGTATACCCCTGGGTTCTCTCGTCTCAACCAGGCTGTTCCTATCCACTAATTTCTTGTGTATCTTGTATGTCATTATCATATCTTCTCTGGCCCTTTTTTTATATTCCAGTGTTATTAATATTTTTTTTTTAGGTCTATCGTCTTGGTCCATTTTCATGTCCTGAATGTGATAAATGGTTTGAAACCGACAAGTTGAAGATTGAGACACTTATGCAACACATGGGAATCTTTATTGAAGAAAGATTCACATATGTTGCATAAGTGTCTCAATCTTCAGGTCTTGAATGGTTGAAGTTTCTATAATTTTTGATATGATCAGATGTGAGGTGTCATGTCCACATTATCCACAAATAGTGATACTTAAGATTTAATATCAGTTTGGTAGATTATTTGTCTATATGAGAAACACCTGGCTATCAAGTTATGATTCTTATCCTGTTCCAGTCGTCAGACTTCTGTTCTCTCTCTCTCTCTTTCTCTTTCTCTCTCTCTCTCTCTCTCTCTCTCTCTCTCCTCTCTCTCTCTCTCTCTCTCTCTCTCTCTCTCTCTCTCTCTCTCTCTCTCTCTCTCTCTCTCTCTCTCTCTTTTGTACAGTTCTCTACGGTTAACTTTTGTCTTCTGAAGCATTTTCTGACATACTTAAATTTTTGGCTACAATATGCATGTAAATCACCGAAAAAAGTGAAATACAGTACTATGATTTGCCTTAATTAAAATAAAGCAGGAACTTTATCATCTTTTCTGCAACACTGCAAGCTCCTGATGATGGGTTGATTGTAACACGAAAGGCCTAGAGCTATCATTCAAACCCACCCCACCCATGTTTGTTTTGCATCCTATATCGCTTGTTCGCGATTTCTGCATAATAGTGTATACTATTCATAGTTGTAACTGTATTAATTATACATGAATCACATAGCAAACGTTGCTCAAGAGATATTAGGTCAATAGAATACATGTATGTTCCCTGGTGTGAGTCAGTGTGGGTCGTTGAAAGCGTTGGTGGATCAGGGTACATATTGTGGAGGAGTGGATCAATATGTGTGGGGGAAGGATGGTGGGATTTGAGATGGGGTAGGGGTTGATGGGGTCGATAATTGTGGAAGGAAATGTTCATTGGTGACGGAGGAGGGTGGGAGGGAATGTTGGGCAGGGTAGAATATTAGTGGAGGGAGTGGAGGGAGTCTGTCTTGGAGGGTCAGTGTGGAAGGGTGTGCTGGAGGGAGACTGAATACACGATAAAGCAAAATTTTGAAAGAACGTTTCGGCCCATCCTGGGCCATTATCAAGCCACGGTAATGGTCCAGGAACGAGCGAAAAGTCATCTAAATCAAGAAAACTGTGACTAAATCGATCCTCCTCAGCACAGAAGTGGAAACCAAACCGAGTAAGAATTTCTACAAAGCTGAACTAACTTTAAGAATTGTAACCAAAACAACCCTTAACACAAAACTACGTCTCCAGTAACCCTTAACATGTAAAAAATACGGGATGACTTTTATCACAAAGCAGACTGTTATTTTTCATGCGTAACTGCAGTTTGTGTGATTGATTTTTTCTGCACTTTCCCAATCAATAATGTGATTTTTTTCACTCATATGCTGAAATAACAGAAGGTATTCTGAATACATTTCACGTATCTCTATTCAGTTCGCTTATTACTTTAGATATCTACCTCTATCACGCAAGAAATATAATATAGATGTATAAAATGGGGATATGAGCAAAGCTTGGAAGCATTAGGAAACGTTTCGCTCACCAGAGGTTTTACTGTTACAGTAGAGAGATAAAGCTCCAGATGAGCCATACAAATCCTAATACTACACTCACCTAGTTGTGGTAGCAGGGGTCGATTCACAGCTCCTGGCCCCGCCTCTTCACTAGTCGCTACTAGACCACTCTTCCTGCTCCATGAGCTTTATCATACCTCTTCTTAAAGCTATGTATGGGCCCTGCCTCCTCTACATCACTTCCCAGACTATTCCACTTCCTGACAACTCTGTGACTTAGGAAATACTTCCTAACATCCCTGTGATTCATCTGAGTCTTCATCTTCCAGTTGTTGCTGTGTTACATCTCTGGAACATCCTGTCTCTGTCCACCTTGTCAATTTCTCTCAGCATTTTAGTATTGTGTGTGTGTGTGTGTGTGTGTGTGTGTGTGTGTGTGTGTGTGTGTGTGTGTGTGTGTGTGTGTGTGTGTGTGTGTGTGTGTGTGTGTGTGTGTGTGTGCTTTTATATATATATATATATATATATATATATATATATATATATATATATATATATATATATATATATATATATATATATATATATATATATATATATATATATATATATATATATATATATATTATATATAATAATTATATAGACTTGAGTCCTGGAGATGGGAAGTACAGTGCCTGCACTCTGAAGGAGGGGTGTTAATGTTGCAGTTTAAAAACTGTAGTGTAAAGCACCCTTCTGGCAAGACAGTGATGGAGTGAATGATGGTGAAAGTTTTTCTTTTTCGGGCCACCCTGCCTTGGTGGGAATCGGCCAGTGTGATAATAAAAAAAAAAATATGTATATACATATACATATACAATAAGATCACAGTAAATAGTTGATATCACAATAAGCAAAATATCCATTGCGAAAGTGTACTGGTGGGTGGATTTTTGAAGTGACAATGGTATTTTGATGCTTCTGGTGTCACTGCTTACCAAAATTAATATTTTAGAAAACGCAAACTGTAAAACAGTATACATACATATATATATATATATATATATATATATATATATATATATATATATATATATATATATATATATATATATATATATATATACATATATGTTGATTACTAGAGATGACGTGGTGTATAACTGTTTGCTTGTGATGGAACCGAATTTTTGTTTAGGTCGTTTGGATCTAGTGTTTATTGCAACATAAAAAATGGGGGAGTACTACAGTAGGCCTACTGGCCTGTGCCATGGAGCTCTTGCTCGTACTTTTAAAGGGTGAATGGCTCATGTTATACAGCAAGTCCTACTAATATTAAATTATTCCCTCACACTGAATCCATTGTTTCAAGTTCTGTCCTGGTTAATCTTTGCTTTAATTATCTTAATTGACAGTTTGTTCCTCTTGTTTCCAACTCTATTGTCAAAGCTCTGCATTAGATATATATTTTTCTAAGTCTGGATTTATGAGTAATTCTGTGTTGTCTCTCTTGAAGACCTGAACACAGCCATAAATAACACTTAATAATAACCACATGGACAAGGAAACACTGGAGGCTGATTGATCTGTGTATTTCGACTCCTTTCTGGGGTCCTCTTCAGCTGAAGAGGACCCAAGAAGTGGGGTCGAAATATGCAGAGCAACATCCTGTTTCTGTCTCCATGTGGGTTACTGAGCATTGACAAGTGCTAATTACACTTTATTCAACACTTACTTATTAAGATCTTCAACACTCATCAAATTGCCGTCTGAGTCAATACTGTACACGTGAACCTGAAGGCTGTTAGAGGTCACGCTCCAACCTCGACCTTGCCTGATCCTTGAGTACAGTAACAAGGTGGAGGGACTGTTTTGGACAGATGAGTCCTCGATAATGGGACTCACATAGAGATTAGAAACTTGAACACCAGATTTGTCTGAGAGAGTTTGCAGATAATCATCCACTTGTGATACATCTGTGTTCTGCAACACAATGGTTGATATGTGATCCATGTCCAGTGGCACCACCTGTAAGAAGAGGTCAAGACAGATAACAGAGAGGATGTTGAGATAACTAAATAAGATTAAAAATAGAGAAATACAGTATTATGCTAGTGTTTACTGACATCGTTTCACCCACATTGTCGGAATATCAAAGACAGATGGTGTACCAACCTTTATACTGGCGTGAGAGTCTTCTGTCGCGCCGTCTGATACCTTAACCTCCAGAGAACACTCCTTGCTACACACAAACTCATTCTCCACGAACACGGCTCCCGTGTTGCTTTCCACCGTAAACGGGGCCCCGGAGCTGGAGTTCGACAGCCCGTATGATAGGTCCCCCACCGTGTCATTGTCGCTTGCCTGATGGTGGAAAAAAAATAACACAAGCCTTCAGAGTGTCACTTCTGAGGGCCATTAATCCCTTGGTGCTGGGGGAGAGGCTCTTGATACGAGGGACTTGAGTTAATCCTCTTCAGATATAGCCTGATAAGCTTCCATTTGCCAGGTAATGTATGGACCCCTACGGATTTAGTGCTTCATTATATTATTATTGTTAATAATATTATTGTAATACTTTTAACAGAAAAAACAGCCATTCGATGTTTCCACTTGTAGGAGAAAGTAATCCAATTCTTTCCCTTGTAGGAGAAAGTAATCCAATTCTTTCCCTTGTAGGAGAAAGCAATCCAATTCTTTCCCTTGTAGGAGAAAGTAATCCAATTCTTTCCCTTGCAGGAGAAAGTAATTCAATTCTTTCTCTTGTAGGAGAAAGTAACTGAGTACTTTCTCATGTAGGATAAAGAGGCTATAGGTTGTTCTTCAACTCTATATATCTTTGGTTATGTTGCACAGTTCTGGTCACAGTATTACAGAATGAATATAAATGCTCTGGAAAACGTACAAAGGAGGATGACAAAGATGATCCCATGTATCAGAAATCTTCCCTAAGAGGATAGACTGAGGCCCTGAATCTGCACTCTCTAGAAAGGCGTAGAATCAGGGGGGATATGATTGAGGTGTATAAATGGAAAACAGGAATAAATGAAGGGGATGTAAATAGTGTGCTAAAGAAATCCTTTCTTATGTTCTTATGTTCTTATGAAATGTAACCAAGGTAGGACTCGCAGCAATGGGATCAACTTGGGAAATTCTAGATTTAGAATTTAGCGCTTTCTTTGATTATCATAATAATTAGTTTTAGAAGGGATTTAGGAAGGCATTGGTTTGGTTGGAGTTGTAGATGAGTGGAACAAACTCCCGAGTACCGTCAATGAAGCTAAAACTTTTAGTAGCTAAATATATATATAAATATATATATATATATATATATATATATATATATATATATATATATATATATATATATATATATATATATATATATATATATATATATATTAATAGTTTCAATGGAGAGGAAATAAATGGGATTAGGTCAGGGGTTTCAAATAGAGTTAGAGCTAAAGAAGGAGTAGCAATAATGGCAGGAAAAGAGGGACTACAAATGTATTAATTCAAGGATTATGTGGAGTAAAATAAAGATTGGATGTGAAAAGTGGGTTGTAGTAAGCGTGTATGCACCTGGAGAAGAGAGAAGTGTAGAAGAGAGAGAGAGATTTTGGGAAATGTTGAGTGAATGCGTGGGGAGTTTTGAATCAAGTGTGAGAGTAATGGTGGTTGGGGATTTCAATGCTAAAGTGGGTAAAAATGTTGTGGAGGGAGTAGTAGGTAAATTTGGGGTGCCAGGGGTAAATGTAAATGAGGAGCCTTTAATTGAGCTATGTGTAGAAAGAAATTTGGTAATAAGTAATACATATTTTATGAAAAAGAGGATAAATAAATATACAAGATATGATGTAGCACGTAATGAAAGTAGTTTGTTAGATTATGTATTGGTGGATAAAAGGTTGATGGGTAGGCTCCAGGATGTACATGTTTATAGAGGGGCAACTGATATATCGGATCATTATTTAGTTGTAGCTACAGTTAGAGTAAGAGGTAGATGGGAAAAGAGGAAGGTGGCAACAACAAGTAAGAGGGAGGTGAAAGTGTATAAACTAAGGGAGGAGGAAGTTCGGGTGAGATATAAGCGACTATTGGCAGAAAGGTGGGCTAGTGCAAAGATGAGTAGTGGGGGGGTTGAAGAGGGATGGAATAGTTTTAAAAATGCAGTATTAGAATGTGGGGCAGAAGTTTGTGGTTATAGGAGGGTGGGGGCAGGAGGAAAGAGGAGTGATTGGTGGAATGATAAAGTAAGGGGTGTGATAAAAGAGAAAAAGGTAGCTTATGAGAGGTTTTTACAAAGTAGAAGTGTTATAAGAAGAGCAGAGTATATGGAGAGTAAAAGAAAGGTGAAGAGAGTGGTGAGAGAGTGCAAAAGGAGAGCAGATGATAGAGTGGGAGAGGCACTGTCAAGAAATTTTAATGAAAATAAGAAAAAAATTTGGAGTGAGTTAAACAAGTTAAGAAAGCCTAGGGAAAGTATGGATTTGTCAGTTAAAAACAGAGTAGGGGAGTTAGTAGATGGGGAGAGGGAGGTATTAGGTAGATGGCGAGAATATTTTGAGGAACTTTTAAATGTTGAGGAAGAAAGGGAGGCGGTAATTTCATGCACTGGCCAGGGAGGTATACCATCTTTTAGGAGTGAAGAAGAGCAGAATGTAAGTGTGGGGGAGGTACGTGAGGCATTACGTAGAATGAAAGGGGGTAAAGCAGCTGGAACTGATGGGATCATGACAGAAATGTTCAAAGCAGGGGGGGATATAGTGTTGGAGTGGTTGGTACTTTTGTTTAATAAATGTATGAAAGAGGGGAAGGTACCTAGGGATTGGCAGAGAGCATGTATAGTCCCTTTATATAAAGGGAAAAGGGACAAAAGAAATTGTAAAAATTATAGAGGAATAAGTTTACTGAGTATACCAGGAAAAGTATACGGTAGGGTTATAATTGAAAGAATTAGAGGTAAGACAGAATGTAGGATTGCGGATGAGCAAGGAGGTTTCAGAGTGGGTAGGGGATGTGTAGATCAAGTGTTTACATTGAAGCATATATGTGAACAGTATTTAGATAAAGGTAGGGAAGTTTTTATTGCATTTATGGATTTAGAAAAGGCATATGATAGAGTGGATAGAGGAGCAATGTGGCAGATGTTGTAAGTTACTAAATGTTGTAAAGAGTTTTTATGAGGATAGTGAGGCTCAGATTAAGGTGTGTAGAAGAGAGGGAGAATACTTCCCTGTAAAAGTAGGTCTTAGACAGGGTTGTGTAATGTCACCATGGTTGTTTAATATATTTATAGATGGGGTTGTAAAAGAAGTAAATGCTAGGGTGTTCGGGAGAGGGGTGGGATTAAATTATGGGGAATCAAATTCAAAATGGGAATTGACACAGTTACTTTTTGCTGATGATACTGTGCTTATGAGAGATTCTAAAGAAAAATTGCAAAGGTTAGTGGATGAGTTTGGGAATGTGTGTAAAGGTAGAAAGTTGAAAGTGAACATAGAAAAGAGTAAGGTGATGAGGGTATCAAATGATTTAGATAAAGAAAAATTGGATATCAAATTGGGGAGGAGGAGTATGGAAGAAGTGAATGTTTTCAGATACTTGGGAGTTGACGTGTCGGCGGATGGATTTATGAAGGATGAGGTTAATCATAGAATTGATGAGGGAAAAAAGGTGAGTGGTGCGTTGAGGTATATGTGGAGTCAAAAAACGTTATCTATGGAGGCAAAGAAGGGAATGTATGAAAATATAGTAGTACCAACACTCTTATATGGATGTGAAGCTTGGGTGGTAAATGCAACAGCGAGGAGACGGTTGGAGGCAGTGGAGATGTCCTGTCTAAGGGCAATGTGTGGTGTAAATATTATGCAGAAAATTCGGAGTGTGGAAATTAGGAAAAGGTGTGGAGTTAATAAAAGCATTAGTCAGAGGGCAGAAGAGGGGTTGTTGAGGTGGTTTGGTCAATTAGAGAGAATGGATCAAAGTAGAATGACATGGAAAGCATATAAATCTATAGGGGAAGGAAGGCGGGGTAGGGGTCGTCCTCGAAAGGGTTGGAGAGAGGGGGTAAAGGAGGTTTTGTGGGCGAGGGGCTTGGACTTCCAGCAAGTGTGCGTGAGCGTCTTAGATAGGAGTGAATGGAGACGAATGGTACTTGGGACCTGACGATCTGTTGGAGTGTGGGCAGGGTAATATTTAGTGAAGGGATTCAGGGAAACCGGGTATTTTCATTTAGTCGGACTTGAGTCCTGGAAATGGGAAGTACAATGCCTGCACTTTAAAGGAGGGGTTTGGGATATTGGCAGTTTGGAGGGATATGTTGTGTATCTTTATATGTGTATGCTTCTAAACTGTTGTATTCTGAGCACCTCTGCAAAAACAGTGATAATGTGCGAGTGTGGTGAAAGTGTTGAATGATGATGAAAGTATTTTCTTTTTGGGGATTTTCTTTCTTTTTTGGGTCACCCTTATATATATATATATATATATATATAATATATATATATATATATATAATATATATATATATATATATATATAATATATATATGTATATATGTGTGTGTGTGTGTGTGTGTGTGTGTGTGTGTGTGTGTGTGTGTGTGTGTGTGTGTGTGTGTGTGTGTGTGTGTGTGTGTGTGTGTGTGTGTGTGTGTGTGTGCGTGTGTGTGTGTGTGTATGTGTGTGTGTGTATGTGTGTGTGTGTGTATGTGTGTATGTGTGTGGTGTGTGTGTGTGTGTGTGTGTGTGTGTGTGTGTGTGTGTGTGTGTGTGTGTGTGTGTGTGTGTGTGTGTGTGTGTGTGTGTGTGTGTGTGTGTGTTCACCAGCTGTGGAACACCTGGGTATCTTTGTTGTGAACACTTGAGAATACACATAGCTAGGTGTTGCACATATGTCTAACTAATCAACCTATGAACTTATTTTAATATGTGTTTTACAGGTTAATGGATTTTAAACCTAATGAACACTGATAGACTTTAATGGAATTTGAATCTAAAATGCATATCTAAATACTAGTAGCATATTACCTGAAGTGTAATGACAGGTCCTACGACGTTCTGCAGAGCCTTGTCCTGGGGGTAGGCAATGATCGTGTTTGGTGCGTGTGGCACCTGGAACTCTGGCTGCTGGTCATTGATGTCCGTCACTGTGATGATGACCAAGGCCTGGCTCCTGGAAGTAGTAGATTCAAGTGTATGTGGTGTGATGGAGAGATGCAAAAGCTTGAAAGCACACAGACATCTCTGTCTCTCTCTCCCTCTCTCTCCTTCACACACACACACACACACACACACACAGTGTAATAGCCTAGAAAGTGACGTAGTGGAGGCAGGAACCATACATAATTTTAAGACGAGGTTTGATTAAGCTCATGGAGCAGGGAGAGAGAGAGAGGACTTAGTAGCAAATAGTAAACAGGCACGGCCAGGTGCTATGGATCGACCCCTGCAACCACAAATAGGTGAGTATACATACACAAAACAGAAGGAACAATTTGAAAGCACTAAATCGGCAGAAACCAAATCGGAAATAAAATTTACATACAACCACACAAGACAGAAAATGACACTTCAAGTCCTAGCAAAAAGATCAAAGAAAAAATGTATTTAAGAAGTACGAAGAAATAAACAGATGAAAGAAACTAGCAGGAGGGAAGAAATACGAGAACAACAAAGGTTAAAAGATATTTACAATTAATTTTACAATCAATTACAAGATAGGAAGTGAGAGAGGTAAGGAATTTTAATGTGGTTCAAACAGTGGAACGCTGAATGTTACCTTGGGCATCTCTAACAGTCCTCTCCCAAGTACCAGCCCCTTCTAACAGTCCTCACACCAGTACCAGCCCTCTCTAACAGTCCTCACACCAGTACCAGCCCTCTCTAACAGTCCTCACACCAGTACCAGCCCTCTCTAACAGTCCTCACACCAGTACCAGCCCCCTCAAACAGTCCTCACACCAGTACCAGCCCCCTCTAACAGTCCTCATCCCAGTACCAGCCCTCTCTAACAGTCCTCTCCCAAGTACCAGCCCCCTCTAACAGTCCTTACCCCAGTACCAGCCCCTTCTAGCAGTCCTCAACCCAGTACCAGTCCTCTCTAATAGTCCTCACACCAGTACCAGCCCCCTCTAACAGTCCTTACACCATTACCAGCCCTCTCTAACAGTCCTCTCCCAAGTACCAGCCCCTTCTAACAGTCCTCAACCCAGTACCAGCCCTCTCTAATAGTCCTCACACCAGTACCAGCCCCCTCTAATAGTCCTCACACCATTACCAGCCCTCTCTAACAGTCCTCTCCCAATTACAAGCCCCCTCTAACAGTCCTCACACCAGTACCAGCCCCCTCTAACAGTCCTCACACCAGTACCAGCCCCCTCTAACAGTCCTCACCCCAGTACCAGCCCCCTCTAACAGTCCTCACACCAGTACCAGCCCCCTCTAACAGTCCTCACACCAGTACCAGCCCCCTCTAACAGTCCTCACCCCAGTACCAGCCCCCTATAACAGTCCTCACACCAGTACCAGCCCCCTCTAACAGTCCTCACAAAAGTACCAGCCCCCTCTAACAGTCCTCACCCCAGTACCAGCCCCCTCTAACAGTCCTCTCACCAGTACCAGCCCCCTCTAACAGTCCTCTCACCAGTACCAGCCCCCTCTAACAGTCTTCATCCCAGTACCAGCCCCCTCTAACAGTCCTCTCCCAAGTACCAGACCCCTCTAACACTCCTCACCCCAGTACCAACCCTATTAAAATATTGACTCGCAATACCAGCACGAGGAGGAACAGGACAGACATACAACTCCTGGATATCTTTAGATGAAAACGTTTCGCCCTCTTATGTCTAATATTCTCATTTTTTATGTCTAATTCTCCAGTAAACTTTGTGGTAACGTCAGTCTTAACTCTGTTTCCACTGGTGGCTCCCACCTACTTTTGTCGTGGCTGCAACTGCTGCACCTCATTTGACTCCAGAAAAGCCCGTCTTCCTGCTTATGATTCATCAAAACTAAGGTACTGTAAAGTAACTTCCAGGCTATGGGACTGATTACCTCATCTTCTACTGTCTTCATTACCTCTGTAGTGAACTGAAAAATGCCACTGGTTGGTGCAACGTCTTCGTAATAGAGATACCTGAGTAAGTCGTCACTCGTAGATGTGATTCCGAGGCACGTCGCTCCTGTCTCGTAAACCTGAAGTTTGAGTTTGATCTCTTGAGTAGTCTCGTAGTCCAGGGCTTCTATTTTCCTCAGCACCCAGGAACCGCCCTCTTGCTGGACCACGTCGAACTTACCTGAAGTGTAAAAGCCAGGTAGTGTGTGTGTGTGTGTGTGTGTGTGTGATGTCGTGGCGAATAGGTGAAATTGGTCAGTTAGCGAGAACTCATTTAAAATGAAGTCCTTTCTAAAATTTTCTCTTATACGTTAAAAGACAATATTTTTTTCATTTATGTTAATGTAAAAATTAATAATTTTGTACCAAAAGAACCTTAGAAAACTTACCTAACCTTATTATAACAAGCGCAATTTAATTTAGCCTAATCCAGCTAAATATATTTTAGATGATTTTACAATTTAATAAACACAATGAAATAAATTTTTTTCGTAAGGTTTAGAAATTACTGCGAAATTACTACATACACACATTTTCGCTTTCCTTATTCAGCAAGAAGAACGTTGCTATTTAAGACAAAATCGCAAGTTGTACCTATTCGGCACTATATATATATATTCTTAAAATTTTGATGTAATTTACTGTTATTCGAAAAATTATTTGTGTAATAGATTGAATATCCTTGATAATTATATAATCAATACTGACCTACAGCAGCGTCAGGCTCCACGCTGATGATGCAGACAGGGCCAGTATCCCCTTCTGTTTTGATTTCCCTAATTAGCGACTCCTGACTGTCCTCCTGCAATGTCTCCTTCAGGAGACTGTTGATCATTGTAACAGTTGTTGTTGAGGGATGCAGCACCTTTATATACACCTGTGGAAGACCAAGAGATTGATTTTCCTTGGTATATTTGTCTCCCTGAAGACGCTAGTTGATGCTAGAGGATGTTTGAGTTAATTCTGATTATCTACCATTTCCATGGGAATTATATTACTGATGGAATACAATATCGACTAGTTAATGAATAAGACACGTGTGCAGCAGTTGGGTATTTTCAGTCGAATACAGTCAAATATAACAATGGATACAGAGAAAGTAGTAGCAGTTTTGAGGTGATCAGTCCATAGGTCTTGTAGGAAACAGTTAATTCCTCAAGAATATCATATGGGTCAGATAGCATAACTTCATACGGATGATTGGGAATGGTTATTAAACTGAAGACACTAGTGAAGGGAAGACACAGTGTGGTGAACAAGCTTTAACTGGGACAACGCTTCAGTGTAAAGCTTTATCTGTGATCTGATAAAGTTCTGCAAAGAGCGAAACATTGTCCCAGTGTAAGCTTGTTTTGCAGCTATACTTTTCTTAATGATGAGTAAGACATATGTGCAACACCTAGATGTCTTTGATGTGAAGACCTTGGGCCAGAGAGTACCTTCACGAACACCATAGTATTGATACCTAGGCACTGAGCGTGTGTCTTCACAACTTCTGGTACTGTATACCATGAACATTCACACGATATCTTAATAACACGATAACAAACAAATCACAGAACGTGTGCCGTTGGTTCTAGGTCCGCCCGTTCTGTGATTGGTAGAACATTAGCGTAAATAAGCTTTTATTGAAAAGCATTTAGAATGCGAGAACTCGTTCAGTGGTGCCCTGTGAGTCTCACCTTTGCTTCGTCCCTGAGAGAAGTGTTCTCGACGACAGCCACCGCTGTGAGGGTGTAGGAACCAGAGGCAACGTCTCCGTTGAGAACGGTGATTTCTCCGCTCTTGGGGTCTATACCGAAGTTACCGTCTGGCTTAGCTATCAACGGGGAGAATATTTTGTTATTGTCCGATCACAATTACCGTGTTTTCCGGCATATAAGGCGCACGATCTTATGAGACATATAAGACTATGTGTCGAAGCAGTTGTAACAACTGATAAATCTTAACCCAAAGCCTATTATTATTATTATCCAAGACTTGTGTGAGGGAAAAACGCGCCTTATATGCCGGAAAATACGGTATGTATGTGTGTATGTGTACAACAACGTTAATTATCAGTTAATTGTAAAATCTCAGTCCACTTGAATATTCGTCTCCACATAAAAAATATTTAATAACAGTTACGAGTATTTTTCAACAAGTGACTGTTTTTTTTTTATTAAAAAAAAAAAACAGAAATTAACTTTAAAATGCATAATAATTTGCGCAATATATAACTCCTTAATTTACCTAATTAATTTAGGAATTTTCATAAATTGATGATTTTCCTCTGAGGATCGAATCTACAGATGTAACGAAGCGAAATTGTTTGTGGAAATTTTGTTTAGAGCAAAACAAAAGCTGGATGTCTGTGCTAAGTCGAGGTGGGACTCTCAGATAAGAATGTCACAATACCGTGGCTGGAACAATAGTGGCTGGAACAATAAAGTGGCTTGAAAAACAGTGACTGGAACAATAAAGTGGCTAGAACAATAAAGTGGCTGGAACAATAGTGGCTGGAACAATAGTGGCTGGAACAATAAAGTGGCTAGAACAATAGTGGCTGGAACAACAGTGACTGGAACAATAAAGTGGCTAGAACAATAGTGGCTGGAACAACAGTGACTGGAACAATAAAGTGACTGGAACAATAGTGGCTGGACAATAAAGTGGGTGGAACAACAGTGACTGGAGCAATAAAGTGGCTGAAGCAATAGTGACTGGAACAATAAAGTGGCTGGAACAATAGTGGCTGGAACAATAGTGGCTGGAACAACAGTGACTGGAACAATGAAGTGGCTGGAACAATGCACAATACACACAAACAATACTTGAACAATTCACAACAAACGCACAGTCATTGGCCTTCCTGGACAAGGTACATGTGGATGACGTTTTGAAACTAGGAACATTTCGGTTCCTATTCCAATTCCGCGACTTCTTAAGCATAGATTAATAAACAGAACTAAGAAATTAGATTGTAAAGTTTAAATTCTATCTACTGCATGAGGGGGAGGTGCCAGGCTGCACATATTTACACCGACTACAAGATTCTGTTTACTTGTCTTCAGAAATACATCATTTTTTTTGCCTCAGTGGTACAGAATTTTTAAGTAAATACATAGAATCACTAATACTTAAGTACTGACGGGATGACACAACTTAAAATATAAGAAGATTAAGGTGCTCGATATTGATCAACAATGTTACTTATTTCAGTTCAGTCAATGAGAATGTCTAGCTTCTGTTACATATGTTTCTATTAAATATCTTTCTATCGTTGACTCTTACACGTAGGCAACACATGATAGGCTCTTTATCTACTGTATATAGTAGTAGTTCTTCTCAATAGACAGCCTTGGTGTGGACTTCCTCTGCTGTCTGTCTTTCTCATGTACTCCCTTGTACTTTATTGTACTCTCATGTACACAGTTAATGAAGATAATTGACATCAAAACGGTAGGAGCGAGGCCTCCAGTTCTGTTTGGTTAGACAGCCAGTCTATTATCAACTTCATTAATTTAAGCTAGAATAATTTCCTTATTGAAGTCTGTGGAAAAGCAGTTGTTAACAGTGAGCACTCTGCTATGTGAAGTCACTATGCATAGGCCAGTGTTTCTATTTTTCGTGTACACCTGATTTGTTTGAATGAAGGTTGCCTTTTTTACCTTAATATCGTCTGCCAAGGGCCTCCAGAGACAGCGAACATATTCTCGTTATTTCTACATTAATGGATGCAAGTTATTCGTATTTATTTCCCATATAGTTAGTGCTGATGAGACACAGAAATCCTTATGATGTCAGAAATAAAATAAATAAGGTCTATTGCTTATTTCTACTGACAAGACTTCATCATCAGATTAAAGAGACAGGGAGAATATAATGATTTTGTAGGAGAGGAGAAGGTTCTTGCCAAAAGTAAAGGTATAAGAAAGGAGGAACACTACAGCAGGTCTACTGGCCTATACAAGGCAGGTTTTACCCAAACCCACTAAGGTAGTTTTATCACTAATGATGTTAAGAAACTGCTTTGACCGCACATGGTTCTGACCTTGGCCAAGGAATGAGTCAGTATGACAGAGAGGCCTAGAATGCTAGAAATTCTAATTACCCACCCGACATACAAGCACAAACATCTCACGTCAGCATCGGGAAAGAAGAATCTAAACGGAAGACAGGTTTTTTTACTTAAATTGTATGTAACTTCATAAGCTGAATTGGCGACTTGAGCCTTGACACGGAGCACGACATCGGCGACTTGTGGCTGCAAGACTTCCGTCGCGTACTGGTACAACTCGAAGTAGAGGGTGTTGTTGTCGAGGTGGCCGGGCCAAGGA